AGCAGTAAACCTTGTGCTAAAGAAAGTTCAGTCTTTTTGGAGGAAATACTACTCTGAAAAATAAATTAGACCTAGACAACAAAACACACAGGGTTCATAAGGCATTACAGTAGTTCCACCCTGTAATTGGTATTCATGCTTATTATTATTGCACTTAGGGGAGTGGCTTTTGAATTACAAAGATTTTAGCAGAAATTAAGATCTGATTCTACACCATTGAAGTCAATGTGAGTTGTTAAGTGTATTCCCTTACTTAACATTCTGCTTTGTCTGGCCTCAATTTTCCTTCTTTCTCTTTATGTCCATCATTTTTTCTGTGTAAGGCAAAAGTGGGATGAGAAGGGAGATAAGCATTTAAATTTTGGTTCAATACAATAATTTAGTACTTGTAAGGATTTAATTTTTAAAAAAGAATGTGTGTATTTTCCTGCATTCCTTTGTCTTTAACCAGTTAGATCATAAGCTAGCTGTTGCAGGCAGAAACATGTAAAACATCCGTCAGAGTTTTGGGTGTGTGTTCTGTGTAAGCAATATGAATCACAAATTAGATAAACTAACATTACCCCTCGCAAGATGGTAGTTAGCTTTGGCTCCATTTTGTAGGCAAATAATACGTCTAAGTTAAAGGTATGGCCATCTCTTTTCAATTACTAGAATTTCTTTAAGGAAATCTTAAAATAGAGGTGACGCAGAAAAGTCTTAACAACCTCCTTTGGCAAATTATTCTATTGTTTGACTGACCTCACTGTCAGAATTTTTTTCTGCTGTCTAATTACATTTGTTTTATAACAGTACCCTTATTTACTTAAGTAATTATTTTCTTTCTTTTATGATGTCTGTCTTGTGTTTATAGATAATTATATCAACTGTTGTCATTTTTTCTAATTTTTTCCCTTTATCTGTCTTTTTAGGTCATGCACTCTGAACCTTTTAGCATTTTTTGTGGCTGCTCTTTCAGTTTTCAGCAGCATATTACTTTCTAATAACAGACACACATACACAGCCCTTCTTTAACCTGATAGTTGAATTCCTAGAATCTGATAAATTCTGAACCAGCAGCATTGTCTTTATTTAGGTCTAATGCTCTAAATCAATTAATGTCCAAATCTACCTATTTAGCAAGCCAAATGTAGAACCAGGGGCGGCTCTAGCTTTTTTGCCGCCCCAAGCATGGCAGGCAGGCTGCCTTCGGCGGCATGCCTGCGGGAGGTCCGCCGGTCCCGCAGATTTGGTGTACCTGCCACTGAATCCGCGGGACCGGCAGACCTCCCGCAGGCGTGCTGCCGAAGGCTACCTGACTGCCGCCCTCGCAAGGACCAGCAGGGTGCCCCGCTTGGAGCACTGGTGCCTGGAGCTGCCGCTGTGTAGAACAAGAGGTTTGAAGCTGCTCTTCTTTCACTTATCTAAGTACTTAGACTTTGAAATTTAGCTCACTTTTCAGCCACAGGGCTCAAAATGTACTTGCCCAAATTTAGGCTGTTCCCACTTTGTATCTCCTACTGAGTTCTTCCTTTGTCACAAAATGTAGGTGAAGTCTTAGGTATGGCTAAGTGGAAGGAGAACTTCAGATTTTTGGGAGGCACTGTTCTGCTTCTTTCCATAAGTTTCCTCTTGGTTCTATGATAGCTAGTCGACTTGGGGCTACTCAGCAAATGACATCCCTTTTTCTGCCCAGGCTGCTCCAACTGGCCTGTTTCTCCCTTTCTTAATCAGCAGTCTCCAGTTAGGTGATACAAGATTTGATGACTTTGACTCCTCAGAGAGCAATCCTCACTAACCATTCTCGTTTACTTTGCAATTATCAAATTCTTGAGTTAGCTTCTCAGTTGATTCAAGGTACTGGTGGGCCCTCAGAAGAGGGGACTTAGAAGATGTTCCTTATATGGAGTAGGCATGTTATGAACTTTAGCAGGCCATGTGTGCCTGCTCCTGCTGCTTAAACAGCTTCCCCTTCAGGGAGCAGAGAAGTCCGTTGGTTCCCCAATAATAAATATCAAGAGAGGCACATGGCTAGTGCTAGATCTCACAAGGAGGATAAGGCCCACCACCCCAGAAAGCATAGAAAGGAAAGTAGGGAAGCCACCATCTCCTCCCCAGCTGGACCTGGGTAGCTGTTAAAATCAGCCTTCCTCTTTTTTTTCCCTCCATTTACTTGGCTTAGTCAGGGCTCTGAAGATAGGTCATTGCACTTCTAGTAAGAGCAGCATCCTTCCAGATTTTGCTTTGTTTTTCCTCATTTTCTGAGACAGGTAGAGAAGGGCACAGAAAAGAAGCTAGATGTATTGTGTTGTAGCTGGGCTTTATGTTCTCAGTGTTCCACGTTCTTAGAGATTAACTTTTTGAAGGCCTATCCTGTCAGCCCCAAAGCCTCTTCCAGTTAAAAGGAAGGACATTAGTCTCAGGAGGGGCCCCTCATCCTAAGGAAATTGATAAAGACAAAAAAATAATAATCCTGGTTGGTGTTTCTTGAGTTTTAACAATATATCCTGATTGTCCTGGATTTGGTCTTTGCCTGTTATTTGATAGTGTCTCTGCCGCCTCTTGCCATCAGAAAAGAGGCAGAAACTTTGACAACTACGCTGACCTGACATTATGTGCACGAGGATCTTTGCCTATCTGAGAAGAGAGTAATTTAAGCTTTAAATAATATCACAACAGTTCATCCATAACTAGCTGTAACAGTGCTTTTTCCTCCACTTAAGTTTTCTTTTTTGGTTTAACAAAATCAAAACTTTGTAAGCTGAGGACATTTTCGTTGTAACCATGTTAATTCTTTCATCGTTCAAAAAAATAAAATTGCATTTGTAAAATTTGTAGTTTTCCTACGCGCTTGAATTAATGAAGTAGAAGGTTTGCATCGTGGCTTGTTACTCAGTGTTCAGCCTTAGCCAGTGAAATGGATGGAAGATCAAATGTGTTATTATGGAATGCCTAAGGAATCAAAACTATAATATTCAAGCTTGTCTCCCATGCTAATCAGAGTCATAAGGGTGTATCAGAGTCAAATCATGAACCTTAGCCTTCTCTGAGCTAGTTTAGGACTATACAGTCTAAGTAAGACTACTGAACAACAGCTAAGTTGAAACTAATAGTCTTGCTCTTTAAAGCTTCCAGTTCTTTGTAGAGATCTTTGAAAGGTGACCAAGAAACTGTCAGCATCATGGTGTTGCCGCCTTGTTCTCCAGTCTATAGTTTTTGATGTTCTTGCAAGCTAGCAAGAGAAGAGATGTTGTCTGCCTTCTCCAAAAGGAAAAAGAAGAAATGGAATGAGGTGTGAGGAACTTGCTTTTTTTCTGGTTCATTTCACTTGAAAAGTAGGACAAGTTCTGTCAAAAACCTTCCAACTATCTTCCAGTCAAACAGTTTTATTGAAGAAATCCAGGCCTGGGCCTGTGGGCTCCTACCTTTGTAGCTCAAGAAATAGAATCAACATTAATGCATTTCTCATCAACATGACCCTCTGTTTTTGGTTTCTATTTTGTTTACAGTGTCCTGGGAATTTATCAGTGTTTCTTCCAAAAATTAAACAGGTGAAAATCAGTGTAAAAATTAGCTTCACGGTGTTTTGGGTAAATATTGGGATTAATATTTGGGCACAAGAGGACAGAAAAGAGCAACAAATAGAGAAAAGTAAGACTATTGAAAATAAAAGTTTAATGTTATGGTTTATTTCTGGAACTGTTTATTAACAATAGCTATACATATGTGCACACATGTGTGTCTATATCTTTTCCTCCGTTGCCTTACTTTGACAGACAGCCTTTAAATTTACACTTAAACTAATTTATTATTAACATAAGCACAACCACCTAATGAATGTATTGGATTTTCTTAACATAATCAGGATTTTCATGAACTTGAATGGTCTAAAATTCAGGTGACAATCAATAAAAACTGAATAATACCTTTTGTAAAACCTGAGGGGTTTTCAGTAAAAACTGAAAACAAGGGGCCTTACTTATTGGACATCTGGATAATTAAAGTGATATTGAGAGGCTTTTGGCTTCAGGCTTATTCCAGTTCCGAAGACACATACTGGCTCCTCTGATTCTGTTTAGTGCCTAGCTTTGGAGCAGGGTATCTCAAGCCAAGAAAATCATCTTTCTTTTCTACTGACTAGAGCAGAATAAAAATTTTCTGTTCCTACTACTTCCTGATAAGAGGATGGGATCTTCAGACTCATCATCAATCTGCAGGTGCTGAACAAATGTAACTGGAGGACCTGATTTTGATTTGAGATTTTCAGTATTTGTTTTTTGTGAGCACTGATGTGCTCCAAAGGTCTTCTGATAATACACATTCCAATATGACTGAGAGATTGGTCTTGTGCTTCACACTAGGAACCAACCATTTCCAGTTGTACACTCTGTTTCTGGACTGGCCTCTGGTCCGTAGGTCAGGGCATCATAATAATTCTGTACTAAAAAGGTTTTTTTTCTTTTTCTTTCAATGAAAGATGAAAAAGAAACCATAAAAAGTGTATGCTGCATATGGTTAGTAAATTAGGTGTTCATTCATGTATCTTAATAATTACTAATTTATCTTACAGACTGGATGTGCTTTCAGAGGCAAAAGCATATTTCAACCTGTCTTTTTAAGAAAACCCACTGTCATGTTTTATTATTCTTGTTATATATGTTTTTACTTCAGAATGTTTCCTTTGCAGGATGGTGAAGAGGAGATGTACAATAAGAGAGAAATGTATTTGGTTTGGTCATCCTCTTTTTCTCCATATTACTTCCTTGTCTTTATCCTTTCTTCCTTATCTTAAGCCTTTGATGTTTATCAATGGAGAAGGAAGCAGGTGGGGCTAGCTGTGTCTTTTTGGCCTCTTTGTTTACTGGTAGATGGAGACAGAATGCTGTTTGTTCAGGATGTTTCCTTTCCTTGAATGGGAAAAGGACAACTCTGGAAAAAGTTTACTTTTCTTTATATGAATTGTTAATTTAGCTTGTTTTGTACTCATCTGTATAATTTTTTTCTTTTACATTTCAGAATAAATAAAATTACAAAAATTGATCCTTAGAAGACTGAAAAAATCTTGCTATGGATACTATAAATGAAAACCATTTTTATCTAGACAAAGTGTGGGTTCAATGTGAGATTGGCAGTTGTTTGAAATGGAGACTGCTATCAAGTGATGATGCTGCACAAGTTGATCACAGTGAGCCGTGGTACTGTTACATGAATACTGACCCATGGTTTAATAATTGTTCTGTTTCTGAAGAATATTTTCCTGAAGAGTCTGAGTTTAATAAAAATGGATTTAAATATGTCTACTCAGAACTTCCTATAGGAAGTCTAGTTTTAGTGAAAATGCGCAACTGGCCAAGGTAAGGTTAAAATTGTTACAACCTTAACTGTATAAAAGTAAGACATCTGTTCATTTTGTAATGTGCACTTAATTTGAGTTCAGTTCTCCTTTGAAAAGTAAAAATGGGATAGAAATGTAATATTTATGGTTTTTTAGTGACTTGCAGATCTAATGTTCTCAGTTTATAGGTAAGATGATTTTTTACCCCCTAATTGTGAGCCCTACAAACACTACTTGGATTTTGAGAAGCAATCTGGGTTCTTTCCTTTTTTGTGCATAATCAAAGTAGCTATGGGGGAAAAAAGAGGTCCTCATTTACATCTGTTCAGTTCTATAGTTTTCAAATTATGCACTCAGTGGCACCTGTGTAACCCCATTGCATTCAGTAGGTTTGCAAAAATGTAGCTGATTAGCACTTAGTAAACAATATTGTAAATGATGGACAAGGAGACTATAATTTAGCTTACTCTCTCTCTTAGCTGTGTTGGCTTTGTATGGCTAACAGGAGTAAGAATACAATTTAGTAAAACCTTTTCTTTTTACCTAAAGTAACTAGTATCTCGAAATACCCCCCCCCCCAAAAAAAAACCAGATGTGCCATTTTTGCACAGTCTGTTCTTGCAATAAAAATACACTGTTAATTATCAGGACTTTGGTTTTTGCCAGTTTTTGACGTTATCAATTTTTAAAGTTACTTTTTTGCTAAAAATGTATTACAGGTAACAGTTTTAGTATCAATAAAAATGGAATCAGTATTACAGCTCACAGATTGGAAGTAATGATTCACCCTTACCGTTTTCTCAATAAACAAGCAGCAGTTCCAATATATACTGTTCTATTTTGTTACTGCTTTATCCAGATTTTCTCTTTCACAATAAGTAGCAGCAGTCGCCACTCCTTGCCTTTGTATTTGATGAGAAGAAAAAAATATCAGAAGTAGCTAAGCCTAGAAAGTGTAGATAATGTAGGGAGAGTAGATTGCAGGGTGGATAAAAATCAATGATTTTTTTTTAAAAAATCAATAAAATCGGATTTTTTTTATAAAATGCTTTTTGAGGAAAAAACCTGTCTAAAGATATCTTTGAGCTATAATGTAGCCTAATTAAAACTATTTCATCATGGAATAGGGATGATCTGGAGAAAGGGGTAAACAGTGAGGTGGCAAAGTTTGCAGATGATACTGAACTGCTCAAGATAGTTAAGACCAAAGCAGACTGTGAAGAACTTAAGAAAGATCTCACAAAACTAAGTGATTGGGCAACAAAATGAGAAATGAAATTTAATGTGGATAAATATAAAGTAATGCACATAGGGAAAAAATAACCCCAACTATACATACAATATGATGGGGGCTAATTTAGCTACAACTAATCAGGAAAGAGATCTTGGAGTCATCGTAGATAGTTCTCTGAAGACATCCACGCAGTGTGCAGCGGCAGTCAAAAAAGCAAACAGGATATTAGGAATCATTAAAAAAGGGATGGAGAATATCTTATTGCCCTTATATAAATCCATGGTACGCCCACATCTTGAATACTGTGGTCTCCTCATCTCAAAAAAGTTATACTGGCATTAGAAAAAGTTCAGAAAAGGGCAACTAAAATGATTAGGGGCTTGGAACGGGTCCCATATGAGGAATGATTAAAGAGGCTAGGACTTTTCAGCTTGGAAAAAAGGAGACTAAGGAGGGATATGATAGAGGTATATAAAATCATGAGTGGTGTGGAGAAAGTGAATAAGGAAAAGTTATTTACTTGTTCCCATAATATAAGAACTATGGGCCACCAAATTAATGGGCAGCAGGTTTAAAAAAATAAAAGGAAGCTCTTCTTCACACAGCGCACAGTCAACTTGTGGAACTCCCTGCCTAAGGAGGTTGTGAAGGCTAGGACTATAACAGGGTTTAAAAGAGAACTAGATAAATTCATGGAGGTTAAGTCCATTAATGGCTATTACCTAGGATGGATAAGGAATGGTGTCCCTAGCCTCTGTTTGTCAGAGGGTGGAGATGGATGGCAGGAGAGAGCTCACTTGATCATTACCTGTTAGGTTCACTCCCTCTGGGGCACCTGGTATTGGCCACTGTTGGTAGACAGGATACTGGGCTGGATGGACCTTTTGTCTGACCCAGTATGGCCATTCTCATGTTCTTATGATTATATATTCTAATTCTATAGTATGAGACAATATATTCATATAATGTTTAAGGAAGGTTTTTTGTAAATGAGTTCCAATAGTTCATGAATAAGGGACCCAATCTTATGAGGTTCCAGGGGCTTCTGTATAGATTATTTAGGTCAATCTTTCTATCTACCCAATGGGACTCAGTGGTAAGTCTAGAAGACACCATCAGAGATGCTTAGTTTTGCAGTTCTCAAACTATGGATTTGTGGCTCCAGTGATAACATGCTTCTTAACAGCAAAAATGTTTTTAAATAAAAAATATAGAGAGGTGAGAAATAACAGACCTCAACCCTATTGTCCCTCTGCAAATTTGTGTGCACAGAATCAGTCCCTTACCTCTCTTTAAAAGTGCAACGTTTCAAAAAGTTCAATGAATAGAAGATTGTTGGGGCGGAATAGATCTGGACAAAGAGAAGAAGTCTGGAGATAAATGTGAGACGGGTGGGACAGGCAGTAGAAACAAAAGTGAAACTGTTTGAGCAGAAGTCTTGAGGTCTTTCTGAGTGTAGCCTTCATTGATTTGAGATCTACCATACCATTCTCTCACTGGAAGGGAAAACCTATAATGGCAGCAGGCCATAAAAGAGACCCAGTTTGTGTCTCATCTATCTCACCTGTCTCTGAGTTGTGAAGAATATGTATTAAGGTTCTAACAACCAACAAGAATGCACTTTTATGTAGAAATCCATGATTAAATCAAGTCTTCCTGACTAGTGATTTAAATCACATTTGATCTAAATCAAATCCACCCTGGTAGATTGCCACATTAGCTAGCTTTTGCAGCAAGTTTATAGAAAGTGCATCAAAGTTACTGTAGTCCAAGAACAGAACCCCCAAAATGACCATGACTTTAAAAAAAAAACACACACACAAAAATGAGGTGTTAGACCATAAGACATTGGAGTTACATAAACTGTGATAATCACAAAGGCCCCTTCAGGCCCCCAAGGTTGTGGTTCTGACTGCCAGTCCACTGTCTGAATGAACACCCTTTCTAAAAGTGAGTTTTAACAAAAGTGTCCAGGTTTTCTGTCCCCACACAAGATTGTCAAAGCTGCTGTTGCTTCAATTGAAGTGTTTATTACTTTACCAAGGATGTGTGATGGGTGTGGTCTACGTGTGCAAGGAGAATCCTTGTGAGATGTAAGACCTTTCAGAGAAAGAAGATGACTTAGATGACTATTTCTCTTCTGAGTATTTAAAACCGCAAGAAGTGGCAAAGAGCTATCTTAATAGGTTACTAAGGACACTAAGGGTATGTCTACACTACGGGATTAATCCGAATTTATATAATTCAAATTTTGGAAACAGATTGTATAAAGTCGAATGTATGCAGCCACACTAAGCACATTAATTCGGCGGTGTGCGTCCATGTACTGGGGCTAGCGTCGATTTCCGGAGTGTTGCACTGTGGGTAGTTATCCCATAGCTATCCCATAGTTCCCGCAGTCTCCCCCACCCATTGGAATTCTGGGTTGAGATCCCAGTGCCTGATGGGGCAAAAAACATTGTCGCAGATGGTTCTGGGTACAGCCTCACCCCTCCCTCCATGAAAGCAACGGCAGACAACCATTTCATGCCTTTTTTTCCTGGGTGAATACTGCAGACTCCATACCACAGCAAGCATGGAGCCCGCTCAGCTCAAGACAGCAGTCATGAACATTGTAAACACCTCGCGCATTCTCGTGCAGTTTATGCTGAGCCAGGACCAGAAAAACGAGGAGAGGAGAAGGCGGCGACGGCAGCGCAGCGACAAGAGTGATGAGGACATGGACATGGACACAGAATTCTCTCAAACCGTGGGCCCCGGTGCTTTGGAGATCATGTTGTTAATGGGGCAGGTTCTATCCGTGGAATGCCGATTCTGGGCCCGGGAAACAAGCACAGACTGGTGGGACCGCATAGTGTTGCAGGTGTGGGATGATTGCCAGTGGCTGCGAAACTTTGGCATGCGTAAGGGCACTTTCATGGAACTTGCTTTCCCCTGCCCTGAAGCGCCAGAATACCAAGATGAGAGCAGCCCTCACAGTTGAGAAGCGAGTGGCGATAGCCCTGTGGAAGCTTGCAACGCCAGACAGCTACT